CACTGAACCCACCCAACATCGAAGCAGCACCCACGGACCTCCCAATCAATGTTGGCCCACCAACAATTGAAGAAATCAGCATGGCCATCAGACAAATCAAGAGTGGCAAAGCAGCAGGACCGGACAACATCCCAGCAGAGGCACTAAAAGCAGACGTAGCGGCAACTGCACGGATACTCCACATTCTCTTCAATAAGATTTGGGATGAGGAACAAGTACCAACAGACTGGAAAGAAGGACTACTGATCAAAATACCGAAGAAAGGCGATCTCAGCAAGTGTGATAACTACAGGGGCATCACTCTTCTCTCAATACCGGGCAAAGTCTTCAACAGGGTATTGTTAAACAGGATGAAGGACTGCGTAGACGCCCAACTTCGTGACCAACAGGCAGGATTCCGTAAGGATAGATCGTGTACAGACCAAATCGCAACTCTACGGATCATTGTGGAACAATCAATTGAATGGAATTCATCACTCTACATCAACTTCATTGACTACGAAAAGGCATTTGATAGCGTGAACAGAACAACACTATGGAAACCTCTTCGACACTACGGCGTGCCTCAGAAAATAGTCAATATCATACAGAATACATATGATGGATTACACTGCAAAATCGTGCATGGAGGACAGTTGACAAAGTCGTTCGAAGTGAAGACCGGTGTTAGGCAAGGTTGCCTACTCTCACCCTTTCTCTTTCTCCTGGTGATCGACTGGATTATGAAGACGTCAACGTCTGAAGGAAAGCGCGGGATTCAATGGACATCTAAGATGCAGTTGGATGATCTAGACTTCGCAGACGATCTGGACCTTCTATCCCAAACGCAACAACAGATGCAGGAGAAGACAAACAGTGTGGCAGCAGCCTCAGCAGCAATAGGTCTCAATATACACAAAGGGAAAAGCAGGATTCTCCGATACAACACAGAATGCACCAATCCAATCACAATTGACGGAGAAGATTTGGAAGATGTAAAAACCTTTACGTATTTGGTCAGCATCATTGATGAACAGGGTGGATCTGATGCAGATGTGAAGGCGTGGATCGGCAAAGCAAGAGCAGCATATTTACAACTGAGGAACATCTGGAACTCAAAGCAACTGTCAACCAACATCAAGGTCAGGATTTTCAACACAAATGTCAAGACAGTTTTACTGTATGGGGCAGAAACCTGGAGAACTACGAAAGCCATCATCCAGAAAATACAGGTGTTTATTAACACTTGTCTACGCAAAATACTTCAGATCCATCGGCCGGACACTATTAGCAACAACGTACTGTAGGAGAGAACAAACCAGATCCCAGTGGAGGAAGAAATCAGGAAGATGCGCTGGAAGTGGATAGGACAAATATTGAGGAAAGCACCCAACTGCGTCACAAGACAAGCCCTCACATGGAATCCTGAAGGTCAAAGGAAAAGAGGAAGACCAAAGAACATATTACGCCGAGAAATGGAGATAGACATGAGAAAAATGAACAAGAATTGGATGGAACTAGAAAAGAAGGCCTAGGACAGAGTGGGTTGGAGAATGCTGGTCAGCGGCCTATGTTCCATTGGGAGTAACAGGCGTAAGTAAGTAAGTAAGTAAGTCCTTTCAGTCGTTGTCAAAGATCTGGCAGCGTGTGAGATAGCTTTTTCAGACCCATCACGAAAAATGTGAGAGATAACTGCTCCCACACCATAGTTAGAAGCATCTGAAGCGACGACTATCGGTAGAGAAGGATCATAATGTGTCAATAAGAGATCGGGAGTTAGGAGTTACTTGATTTTCTCAAAAGACGCTTGGCAGTCTGCTGACCAATTTCATCTTGTATTTTTCTGTTGTAGGTTGTTTAGTGGAGCACGTAGACGATGGAGATCGGGAAGAAAGGTACCGTAATGGCTGACCAATCCCAAGAATGATCGTAGGGTAGTAATGTCCTTGGGTCTAGGCATTGTTTTCACCGCTTCAATGTTTCCTGGATCTGGTCGTCTTCCATCTTTATCTATTATGAACCCAAGGTACCGTACTTGCTGCATATAGAAGTCACACTTTTCCGCTCGGAGGCGAAAATCATAATCGGCTATGCATTCTAGTACCGGGTCCAGTTTCTTCTGCAGGTCCGTTTTATCTACTCCCATAATTATGATGTCGTCTAAGTAAGCTGCTGCCCCTGGAATACCTTGTATCATGGTATCCATAATTTGCTGGAAAATAGAGGGCGCTGTCTTCACCCCAAAAGGTAGTCGGTTATACCGGAACAGACCTTTGTGTGTGTTGATCGTTAAGAGATCTTTGCTTTCATCGGATACAGAGATTTGTAGGTATGCGTCTGATAAGTCCAATTTTCGAAAATATCTGCCACCGTTCAGCTTTACGAAAAGATCTTCTGGTAAGGGTAACGGACACTGTTGAGACTCTAGAGCTTCATCTAGTCCCGTTGAGTAGTCTGCACATAGACGAACACTTCTATTCGACTTCTTGACCACCACCATTGGTGCAGCCCAATTCGAGAAGCTCACAGGCTCGATAACACCCATCTGCTGAAGTCGTTGTAATTCTTGTTCAACTATTCGAAGAGCAGCATAGGGTATAGGTCTTTTAGGTCGAAAAACGGAAGCAGCTTCAGGTTTTAGAGTTAACACTGCTTTGGCCTTCGTACATTCCCCCAATCCTTCTTTTAACACGTTTTGGTGTCTTTGTAGCATGGCATTTTTCTGGCTCCACTCTGGGGTGTTGTCTGTTCTGATTCGTCTGCAGATACTGTTAATAGAATGGTCTGCTAGTTTAAGTGTTTCTATAAGATCTGACCCCATTAAGTCGAGTGCTGGCTTCTTTGTAAGATATACTGTTGCATTCGTTGTTACAGTGCATTTAGAAACAGTGCACGGCACTTCTCCAACAATATTTAACTTCCCCCCAGATGCACTGTGTGCCAGTTGTGTTGTTGGGAAAACTGTGGGTCTTCCAATGTTCTTCCATGTTTCTGGGCTGATTAGCGTAATATCAGACTGTGTCAAGCTGAAGGCGAGTACGGCGTTTATTAATATTCAAGGTTACGTACTTTCTTCGGCGGCAACTTCGTGCTGTGTTATGTGATACCAATATCTTGTTGGTTGGAGCACTATATCTGTATTTCTTTGAGTAAGATTTCAAGGAATGTTGTCTATAGTCTCTTCTCCTGCAGAAGTTTTCTTTATGCCCCTTCCGATGACATTTGCTGCAACGATGTTCTTTATATGGGCAAAACCTCTTATAGTGGCAACCTCCACATGCCCAGCATGGAGATGATGGTTTGTCGCTGTTATTTTGGGAATTATGGGTACTGGAACCTTGAAAGACTTTTCTCTTGACTGCATTGACGTTACGGAAACAATTACCGTTTTCTACCATTGAGGTATCATGCTTTAAGTTTACTAACCTTTGGCACTCAATAGTCACTTCTTGCAGGGTCATGTTAGGGCAGTGTTCGAGTTTGCTTAGGATTCTGGTTCGGATATCGGCATCTTCGGGTGAACGCAGGCTGCAGATAAATACTGAGCATTTAAACTGATCTTCAGACATGGACGACAATCTAAACCCCTCACATTCTCGGTTCACAGTTCCTGCATGCTTCACCCAATCATCTCCTGGTTCTTTCGTTAACCTTAAGCACTGGTAACGGATATTAAATAGAGATGTTTGTTCTCCGAAGATTTGGGATAGGGTTTTGACTGTATCATCAAAACTAAAATCTCATGGGTTCTTCGGAAGAATGAAGTTACTATAGCGTTCATGTTCCGTAGTCCCAAGTTTTCTAAGAAGTATTCTGACTTTTGAAGCATCATCCAGTTTGCAAAGATCAATATAAAACAAATCTTCATACTTCTTAAACAACGACTCGAAACTTACACCTGCTACACCATCAAAATTAAATTCATGGATGACGTTAATGACTGAATCAGTATGTGATACTTGAGATTCACTAGAAGCAAGGTTTTTCTCGGACAGGCAGAATTTCTGCATCAGGGTTTCCATGATTCTAATTTGGGAGTCTTCAAACCTCTTTTCTTGACGCACAATATAAACTTCTAATTGCTCCAAGGAAATATTCATTGTAGTTTTCATCTCCGTCGCCACTGTTAAGTCGTGTAGGTTGAACGCTTTATACGATTCCTAAGCTATCCCGGTAACCCGCAGTCTAGAACTACACAGCGACTTGAACTCCAGAGAGAAAACACAAGTATGAGAGAAAACACTTTATCTCAAGGTTCATTCTAGTACAGAAAATCAAGGGTATTTATAGGTTTTGGCGTCTGTTAAATTAACATCATATTTCAGCCAATCCGTTAACGCCATATTATGCTACCGACCAATGGTAGCACGCCACGCTGGAATTCTCGAACGTTCCATCATACTCTGATTGGCTAAGGCCCTTCGGCTCCTTTTTAGGCCTCTGGAGGCTCCGTTGAAGTTCTCTGGGAGCCGGCCCAACAGTCAGGTGTGCCATGGGTGACATATTATTTTCAGTCCCTTAAAGCTGTTTCGTGTTACGTCTTTGTTTCTTTCTACAGTCCAGTTGAGGTTCGAAGTAGAAATTTTTATGGTATAGTAAATAAGCAAGTAGCTAAGATTCTTCATGATTTTACACAAGGCAAGATGTCAAGAGCTTAAGTGAATCAAACGAATTACATATCAGTTAGCAAGCATTATGTGGCTGTGAACCTGCATGTGGAAAACTTTACATTAAGTGTGACAGATGACTTTGACAAGTTCAAAAATTTTCGCATGATAATTTCTGATAGGCCTTTGAAATTCGTAGCACTAAGTTTTGAATACTTTACATTTTTGTTAAACTACCAACTACAACTACGGTATTGGTGGTCAATTTTGGAAGCAAAAATGTCTACACTTATTGAAATATACACAAAAATAAACTATGAATTTGATAGACCAAAACAAAAGCCTCCAGAAGAGACATTGATTTTCCCTTAGAAACAATTAAGCTTTTAATTTGTTCACTGTTTCTCTCCATAGGATGAAAGTCTTGAAAGATTAACACGTGATAGCGCATTATTAGAACAACATTATAGTCATTTTTTCGACTTAAAAATTATTAACAATGATATTGAAGAAACAATTACTCAACTTAAACGTGTAATAGATGACTTTCAAATTACTCCACAATGGATACCAGTTACATGGGTCTATTAAGTATGATTCATTTAATCATGATTATACAATGTTGTGAATAATGTTACAATTGGACGAAATGGTTTTGTTTCTTTCAACTTCTCATTGTTCTTATTATCAATTGGATGTTTACTTTGCATAGAATGTGCTTTCTTCTTTATAAATTCTTCTTTTCTCTCTCCCCCCCCTCTCTCTCTCTGTGTGTGTGCATCTACTCAGTTACATCTTGTTTTCCTAACCTTTTAACCTTTATCTTTGCTACTATTCTTTCATAGTATCTCTGTTCTTTCCCAACCCCCAACCCCTTATTCAAATTTTAGTTTTTTTCTTAACTACGTAATTCGGATTCTTCATCGTATTCACATCATTATCTTTCTTGTTTATTCACGTTGAAAATCAAAGGAAATGTTTTCATTTTGTAGAGATGATCAAACAGAAAACTTCCCCTAGTCAATTATCACTTCTAATCCATCATCGTTATTCTATCGCATTTCTCTGTATATAATATAGTAGTCATCTAAAAGATGCCATTGCTTCTTGATCTTGATCATAACATGATCATTTTGTTAATAGTTGATTCTGTTTTGTTTTTCTTTTTTGATTTTAACTTTTGTTTGTTGGTGTTTGTTTTCTTCTTTAAATTATCAAGTTCTACTTTCATTTTGAATGATTTCAGTTGATAATTTTTTTCTGTCTGTATTTACTTTAAATAAGAATAAAACTAAGTTTCAGTTGAAATGAACATCTCCTCAATGATCGTTCGAGATGTTGTTTTCTAATTTTAAAGCTTATTCAATTAACTTACATAAATTATCATCCTACTTTTTAAATGTTGGAGAAGATTTGGAGCTCAGTTGAATGCTTCAACATGAAGAGGTGGGAGCCGATGAGATTACCAAGAACGACACGATATTCAAGGATGTTCAGTAATTAGATTATCTAACGAACAGGGCAAAACACCAGAATATATGAGCATTGTTAAAATAAGTATTTCTTGACTTGCATAAATCTATGATTTGACAGCACCGTTTAACTCAGTTCTCAAACAGTGACTACTAGGATTAAGATACATAAGTATATGACTGACAGCTATAAATTATTTTATTGAAATCCCATGTGTAGTTACTGAAAAAAACAATCAGTCACGGCACTTAAGTAACTTTCCTACTGGTCTATCTTCCTTATATTCGTCTCTCAAATTCATAGAAGGCCACTTATGTGTATATTTAAATAAGTGGAGACTTCGTTGGTTTCAAAATTGACTTCATGGATTTTAAGCCATCAATACCGTAGTTGTAGTTGGTAGTTTAACAAAAAGGTGAAGTATTCAGAACTGAGTGCTGCGAATTCCAAAGGCCTATCAGAAATTATCATGCGAAAATTTTTGAACTTGTCAAAGTCATCTGTCACACTAAATGTAAAGTTTTCCACATGCAGGTTCACAGCCACAGTGATGAGTTGTTAAGATACTGCTATAACTCGTAAATTACATCAGTTTTCGTATTGCATGTTGTTATTAGAGAAATGTTTACATAAATTAATTCAAGTCAACCGATCTATTGGTCTGGAACATAGTATTTACAACTACGGGAAGCACACTTTATGAAAGCCGTCTTGGTTATTGTTGAATAATGTTGCCTAGCATTCCTAAGTACACGTATTTAGAGATGACTGTGAATATTACATCTATTACTTGTTCATAAAGAATAAGTGGAATATGTCTAGCAGTGAAATCTAAAACTCTCGTCTCACTTGGGATTCGTCGGCCAAATATATCACTGACAGTTAAGCTATTGATTTTTCGTTACTAGTGTTCTTTTCATATATACTATCGGCTACGTTTGTGAACCATTCACAGACGTTAACCTAATATACTGGTCAGCAAAGACAGGGCACCAAGTGAACAATAAAATTCATCACCAGTTTTCAATTCCAACGGGATTTCCGTTAAAATAATTTCTGGCAGGATTAGACAATCAGTTGTCGCCTAATTTTATTGATAAGCTATCTTTATATTGTAAATACATTATTAACGCATGCATTTTGAGTGTGAAAGAAGTTATTATCAATTTTCTACTAAAAGTGTTTAATATCTCTCATTTAAGAATCAAAATTACTTGTGAAAGACAAAACTATCACTTTAGTTCATCAATTGATTTCCTACCAACAGAAAAATACGAGGTAATGTTAGTCATAAAGTGACAATAAAAGAAATACAGAACGCATTATAAAAGGTGGTTATTCCAAACAACGTATGTGGTTTTACAATTAAAATCATATTTGGAAATCATTTCAAACTTTTAATTAGGTAAAGGCTACATTTGACTGCTGTTTTAAAAGAAATAATTATTGAATAGCTAAAATAAGAAGAGTTACAAGTAAATCAATATTCCGATTGACGCCATGTTTCATATTAACGCGTGCTGCGTACTGCGAATACAAATGGGGATTCCAGTTCGACTATCGCCATATTCATTTTTCGAATTAATTACTCCGAAAATGCCAAATTGGCCAAACGACCCAGAAAGCTTTGATATACCACAGATATTCGGCGCTTGTTAACGCTTTTATCTGCAACACCTTGGTAATTGAAGGATTTCAACCCAGTAAACTCAGAAGTCGGGGATGAATGTGTTTGCAGTGTGATTTTCCAGCTTGTCCTTATGTTAGAAAGAGGTTAATCTATGCTGGTTTGTGGTTGCAAGGGCTGCGGAGCGAGAAGCACCCACTCCCAATCTGGTGCAGATGTGTGACTGGGTGTATTGGGCTAGTGCGTCCAGTTAAATTGGTGAGGATATGACCAGTGTCAGATCGTTGCAGCGCTATTTATCTTAGAGATTCATTCACCGCTACAAGTTCACTGTTTAGTTTCCAAGTGCGGTTTACTGTAATCAAGTTAAAGATTGGATAAGCCTAGCGGAAATTTATCACTGTCGCATATGAAATATAAAAGCGATAAGAGCTCAGCTTGCAGTGCTGAACAAAGAGTTTTAATGAAACTTTCAAGCCTTATACTTATCCAGTTATCAAGCATCTTAAGGGCAGTCGTCACAAAAGTCCTACGATCAAACTCACCCAAACCTGTGTAGTGACCTACTTTTATCGAGAGATTATTAATATAACCAATTGTACCAGTAATTGTTTTACTGTACTTGTTCGTTTAACTGTTGATTGTGACCTTTCACGAACTCGGTTACGCTCAGTCACCACACTTATAACCTGTCACGATCTCGGTATTCCTATGATACCACGAGATCGTCAACAAATACATCTCGACTACAGATATCAACTGCCTTCTGATATCTTATCTGTTAACTGGCACGTAGTCCTCTTGTAGTGGTGATCATAATCAACCGCGACTCAACGCCGTACTACTCCTGTATCCTCTTGTTATTTGATTTGCATCACTGTTATTACTAACTCTGTTATTCATATTATCCGCTCAAGCTTTTTATTAGTTTACCCGTTTCATTAGTCGTAGGCCTCCCCAGATAGACATTTTTTTCAAAATTCTATACAAATATTCTCATGAATCTATCACAAGTTCCATCATCAGTTTACGCAATAATTTGCATACATTTATTTTCGATCTCTCAACAATAAAAACAGCTTGAACGCTGCGGATTGATATTTGTTATGTTATTTGTCGAATGAGTCACAATAAGAACATGAGGTTCAAATCAAGGTATCCTGATGTTTCCTCAGATTAAAAATGCTGAAACTGACCTCATTATGTAGTTAAAATACCAAAACTTTTCAAATGCAGTATTTAAAAGACGACCACTCGGCAAATGAAAAGCGAACAATGGCGATTTTAGTAGATGGGATCAATACAATTGATTGCATACGAAGTATACGATAGACAAAAGTAAAAAGCCTTGATCATCCACACCGAACTTTTCTCTGATCCCTTATTAACCACAAGCGCATTACTATTTATTATCACAGATAACTTTGTGACGCTCATTACATATTTTCCTCACAATTTCAAACTGCGAAACAGCATCGAAGGCTGTTTTCAGAAGCTTCGGACTTGACCGTTCCATCTTTCTAAGAAACACACCGAAGAGATCATCTTCCACACTATTAGTAATAATAAGATAACACAGAACTTACCTCGAGACGTTTTTCTTCGATTTTTATGAATTTTTGATTTTATCTCTTCTACTTGTGAATACATAATCGTATAAACTTCATTTACTTTCTCCAGAGGCTTCATCATTACTATATAGCTACATTTTGAAATAAGTGGTTTCATAACTAATAATGAATTAACGAACGCGTTTACACCCAACTGAAACATGTGAAATCAGCAGTCACGGAAAGACAAAGAAGACCTGAGACTACACACGCAATCTTAATCGAGAAATTCACATCAAGAGAGAGAACATGGATGGAAGCCACCAGTCGTTTATTTGAAAATTAAAATTCGCGGATTATGTACAGGAAGTGAGGTTAGTTTACAAAATGATCTTATTAGTCATCTTGTAGGTTCATTGCATGCGAGGCTAATTCTTATTCTTTCAAAGCATGTAAAACAGAGCAACTTCCCCGAAGTCCTTCCTGGAGAAGCATGATACACTTCTAAGTAAATAGAACAGCAGTTCACACTAAGCAATATCTATGCTTGTTTTACTTAGCTCATTTGAGCGGCATATAACGATAAAGATGATATACAGGCACTTCGGGAGGATCTGACTCGACTTCAAAGTTGGGCAGGCGACAACGGACTTACCTTCAACATTTCAAAGTGTAAAGTAGTCCATCCGCGACATGTTATACACTACAGTTACAACTTAAGTGACTCCTCTCTAGAAGTATCCTGAGTCGAAAAAGATTTATGAGTCCTCTCACCCTGTGATTTGAAGTCCTACGCTAACTGTGACAGAAATCCCTATCGAGCAAACCTTGCACTGGTAACGTTGAAGCGCATTTTTGGACAGTTTGACGGAAGAACTTTCCACATATCCAAATGGACAAGGTCACTTTGGAGCGTATCCAACGGCGAGCCAGGAAATCAGTTCGAGGACTCAAATCTAAACCTTACGAAGAACGCCTCCATTCACTAGACCTTTA